ACAAATTTTTAGGCATTGTAAATACTGTGCTTCGGAGAATACAACCTGAAAAATCATGGCTTAAGTATCGAAAAGTGCACTGTATGCATGCTATTACACGATTTTAAAACTGGAAGTTGATCACTCCAGGGTGATGTCCATTTTATTATTTTTCATAAATACAGTAGACAACAAATATATGCAAATTTCTAAGCCACAATCATGGCTCAAGGAATCATTTTAATAAATGACCAGGGTTGAAAAAACCGCTTCGCGGCTTTTCAACCCTGGCCCCGTCTTCTCCAATGATATTCTTGGCTTTGCATAATGTTCCCGGGTTCGGATGACCAAAACTGAAAAATGCTCTTGCCGTCCCTTTATATAGGCTACCGCGACTTCCGGTGCATGCTAATTTGATCCTAACAAAGTAGGTTGTCCGTTTTTCCATGAAAAACTGAATTTTAATGTCGAAAACATCATATTTTGTAAAATTTGATATGTGTGCAGTCATCTCTAGCCCATTACGCACCTAATGACGTATCGAACATACCCCTAAGTACTTCCCTACTTGAGATACTACTGGAACACGCTGACGGAAGTTGCATGCAAATGCACACACATACATACACACACACACAGGAACTATTTTTTTTATATATAGTAGGAATCACGAATGCCTCGCTTCAAAATTACATTTGTAAGGTTTGCAAGTGACAATCTGGCCGCCTCCCTTCTCCATAGACGGTAGGGTACGCGCGGTTACCTGAAAAACGATCTTATAGTTTGCAAAAAATCTCAAGCATTTAGGGATTACAAAACTTACCCTATAGCTCTGGAAAATATTTGCGAGGAAGAGGTAAAGCTCTAGCTTTGCCAACCCCTCACCGACACATGCTCGTTTCCCCACCGAAAACGGTACTAGCTCTTCGTATTTCTTGTAGGTACCATCCGGTTTTAGGAATCGCTCAGGCTTGAAGCTGTATGGTTCGGGGAAGACCTAAATCATTGATTTTTTTTGGAGTTTACATAACTTCAGGGCTTGTCCTCTAATCTTACTCCTTAAGCCCTCTACAGTACTAGCTATTTCTCAAATGGTCTCTGCCAGATCTACGCTAGGGAAAAGGTTCCTATACGCTCTCTGCCAGCGGCCCTTTTTGCCACGGGGTGCCTAAAAAGCATGAATTCAAAGGAATTGTCTAAACGACCTCCCCAGTGATCTTCGCTAGCCATAAAACCAGCCCTCCTAAATGATCGCTGCTAGCTTACATGTCCTTAAAAAATAGAAAATCGACCTTACACTTTCATCATACATTACAGCGCTGATTTGCGGGACGATCACACTACCGGCTGGGATACTGTAGCCGCCGATTGTGACGTCTTCAGTGTTCACGCGAAATAGATTTTGAGGAAGGAGGTTGCAAAGGCGTTGCGCTTCCTGAAAAATTTGTTGATGTTATAATACCATGAAAATGTTGGAAACCCGCGATACGCAACGCGCCGCTTGGCTGGAAAAAAGCTCGTAATTTGTTACGCAATGGAAAAGCTGGCTTGCACATCCCTTTTACAGCTCAAAACTCACGCTAACCACCGCATTCACATACGGCAAATTATTCTTATCAGCAGCCGTAACCTTGCGATCGGATTTGATTACGCGATCCAATTCTTCATGTAGTTTTTCCTGGACTTCCTGATGGTTCAAAATATAGCAAATGGCCCAAGTAAGGGTATTTGAGGTGGTTTCCATCCCGGCCGTCCATATATCGACGACGACGGCGACGAGTTGTTGCTCACTAAAAAATGAGAATTTTCCAGGTTTCATAATTCACTTACAAATAGTAACCCTCCTGATCGGTGCCCTTCTTCTTTTCCCACTCTTTGAGGTAGCTCTCGACGAAATCCTCGGATTCCTTGAAAAAAAATACGTGATTTAGGCGTTTTGGGCTATGTACTTGTATTTATATTACATTATTACATTATTACATCATTACATTAAATGTATTTATCTACTAGACATCTAAAAGAGCTAGATTAAAGCTTAAAGCATCACCTCAGCTTCATATTTGACCATCTTCTTTTTCATCTCAATTTGCCGGCGGATAAACCCGAGCAAGACATCGCGAGTATCGTAGAATTTTTGGTATAGTCCTGTAATGCTTTTAATATTATTATAGTTTTTCTAATTTTTGCGCTTAATAATCTGGGGGGACTTATCACCGCTTCGAACTTCGATAAAAACGGGTGATGGGAGTGCGATACTACCTTGCCTCTGACACTAATTGACGGGCCGTATATGACCCACTATGGTATAGCCCCTCCCCTCTCGCCTCTCAGCATCGCTTCTGTGGCGCAATCGGCAGCGCGTTCGGCTGTTAACGGAAAGGTCGGTTGTTCGAACCCACCCAGGAGCGAACTTTTTGCTTTTGGAAGAAACGATCGCTAGTGCTTTGCGTTACTTTTTGATAGTCGTACTTGCTTTTTTTGGCCCCTAGCATCCTCGAAACCTTCTTTATAAGATTTCGATGTCTACAATAGGTAGCATTAATCTTCAACTACCTTTGAAGGGAGGTATCCCTCGAATTTGCGGCGTCATCATAGCCAGCAAAAAAAGCGGGGTCGTCAGGATTTTGACGAGGTCCCGCAGCGATTCTTTAACGAGGCTAAACTCGTCCAGGTGTTGCTGATAAATGGAATCTAGCAGATTCAGGTATTTTTACCTCGTCGAACCTATACCCAAATAAAATATTGTTAATGACGGATCCGACGGCGATGTCGAACTCATGCTAAAATGACTTGATTAGCGATACTGTAGGCTTGGCTTACCTGGACCGAAACTTCCGTCTTTAGGCTTGCCAGGCGGTCGATGAGAAAATCTACTTCAACCATCACCCGGTCTTCCATAATATTTCGGCCCATCCCGAAATCTCGCATTATGTGAAGGGTTAGTCTTAATTTTGATTTGAATGAAAAAGAAACGACTTGGAGCCGAAAAATTTCTGGTTGAAAATGGATAATCGGCTTTGTTTAATACACTAATTAGCATAAAATTTACAGGCTACAAATCCTAGAAAGTCTTATTAAAGCCTCAAAAATATCGTAATTCAATTCCATATAAAAAATTTCGGATAAAAGAAGACATTTTATTAAAGTTTTTTTTACCTCCTCTGCTCCCGCCACAGTTCCCCCATCGAGCCGATGATGCCGTAGTCGCCTCCTTAAACACAGTTTTCCACTCACAGAATCGCAAAAATTAATTTTGATTTTCCCCGTCTATTTTGCGCGGATTCAAGGTATATTCCCTATTAAAACCATTTTAAGCCCTCGTGCTCACCGACAAAATCGAGCATCAAATCGTTCATGTTCCAACGGGCGGTGTATTTATCCCCGTCATTGATTATGTGCTGCTTGATGAGTGCAAAATCGGAGATGCCGATGATAGGTTGAGTACCTAAAGTAATAAGATGGTCATAATGTCATCCCAGTGTACATATGTTTGAATTTTATCTTATACTGGTAATTACGGCATTCCTTACCCATCCAATAAGTATGCACTGGCCCATATTTCTTGCCCCATCCACCGTACGCCTCGTAGCCGGGGGCTTTTTGGTGGATTTCGATGGTATTTCCAAAAACTCCAAGCGGGGTTGGGCCTGAATAAATTAAGTGCTAAATAGTTTACTACATATTACCAATTTGAGAACCAAATTAATTTCAAAAACGGTTCCTTAACTATATATATCGAAATTCGCCGACCGAATTCATTTCCAATCCGGATTGTTCTAATTGTCTCAGCTAAAGCAAAAACGAATAATTGTAAAATTATCTATAGCCATTACAAAATCCCAAAAAGAATGAATTTATAGATATGATTTTTAGATCAACTTATAAATATTTGAAAAGCAAAAAATAGTCTCTTAATTCTGTTATCCATGACCCGGAATAGCTTCTAGCTATAAAAAAAAGCTATAAACTTAAAACTTTAGGTCTTTAAAATTAAACCTGGCGGCAACTTCCTCCGTTTCCAATACACCTCATGAAAAACGTAAGATACAACAGCAAGCGCGAGTAACAGCAAAAACATCTGAAATTTACAACATGGATTAAAAATAAATTATTTAAGTAGCTCAACAATTCGCTGCAAATTAAAAAAAATTGAACAAAAAAGTCATCTTTGATCAAAGCTGACAGACGACGAAGAAGGCTAGGCGTTTTATGAAGACTAACCCCTCAGAAACCGGCTGATAATGGACGGCGAAAAACACATATTGTGATCTGTCGACAGTTGTGCCTCGCAATCATTGCCCTTATTTGACCGCGGCGCATTGATTTTTAGTGAGCCGCCCCGGAACGCCGTGATTTTCTGCGATTTTGTGATTTGGGGCCTCGGAAAAGTTTATTTTCTGCATAAAAGTGATTATGCAAATTCCAAGAATTTCTTGATGTTCTAAAATCTCCTAATTACGCCAATCACCAAGTTTAGCTTTAATTATTTGATAGGACATTTTAAAAGGGCTTACGTTTTTCAAGTGATGAATTTTGAGTTAGGGGCATTCAATAAAGGTTATTCAGCGCAAAACGCCAAAATGCCGACGGCAAAAATTTCGACAGAAAAAATACCGACTTGGAAGCTAATTCTTTAATACGACTTCTAGACTGTATCTGGGTTTTTAGCTGTCGTGATTCTGGTTTATGGGATTTTGACTTGTCGGTATTTTGGCGTATCGAGATTAGGTCTCGAATCCGTCATTCAGGCGTGAAATTTAGGAAAAGGAAAACGGAAAGTAAAACAACTTTCACTTTTTTATCGTATTTTGCAACTTCTGCAACTTTGTGACGCGGAGGCGAATCGTAAGCGAGGTCATATACGGGCGCGCGATTTTATGGGGTGGTTTCACTTTTTGATGGGATTTTAATTGGGCTGCGATTTGCTTTTCGGTTTCCGCTCAATCAATGAAAAGGTTAAAAATTCATAAGCGAGTGTCATTAACGGGTTAGCATAACAATTTATCTTTGCAAAATTCTTAAAAATCGTCGTCATCCCCACCGGCCGCAACCACCTGGACGTAATCCTGGACGTTAAACCCTAAATACAAATGATTTTTCGAGGCTCGAAGTTGCAGTTCCTGATAAAAACATAGCTCAAGTAAAATAATTCAAATTAGCAGCTTAAAGGGACGGGCAAGGCATGGTTATGGTTTTTTATGTGTAATTTTTCTGGATTTGGCCGTTGCCGCGTCACGCCACGCTTGTTGAGCAGCGGCGTTTTTTTTGCTTGTCCATTACAGCATGGAATTCAAACGTTTTCTGACAGCGAAAAAACCATAAAAAATCCATGGTCGACAAAATCTATAGCAAAGCCTTGCAATTCCCTTTAAAAAAGTCGCAAACTCACCTTCACCCTTCTCCTCATCACTTTTCCCATGACTGTGACTATGGCTGTGATCATGGCTATGACTGTGGCTATGGCTGTGGCTGGCCGGAGGTGGTGGTGGTGGGGGATTACTGTACTCTAAAATACAAATTCCGCGCTTGTACTACTTACGGTTCTGGGCCTGGATTCGGTCCGGGGTGCGGGTGCGGATGAGGGTGAGGGTGAGGATGGGGGTGGGGCTTGGGATGCGGTTTTGGTTGCAGTTTCGGCTTGGGTCTTGGACCTGGCTTTCCTCCGGGCTTTGGTCCCGGTTTCTGGGCCGGAAACTTCATACAGTCCGGACGGCTCTTGGCGGCTCGTACCTAAAATTATGGCCATGAATCGTAGATATCTTAAATAGTGAGTAGCTATAAATCCTGTACCACATGAGCGCCTCATTACGCTCGTCTTTCTGTGTCGGAGTTTCACTGCGTAATTAGGCGCTCACATATCTTGTAAGTTACAGTAAGCTTTCGAGGCTAATGAAAATCATGGTGGCTAGAGAAAGCCGTTTTAATGGGGTTAACAAGCCAACCAAAGATATAGAAATGCATTTAGAGTAACTTACACTCCCTCTCATCACCGGCCCGTGGAATGTCACGCCTGTCAGATCGCCGTTGCACTGAAAAAATTAGCTTCTACCCTCCCTTCTTTCAAAGAATCCCTGCTAGCCACTCCCTCGATGACGCACGCCAGTTTTTGTAGTTTTTGCTAAAGCTCTTAAACTCGCCTTTTGTCTAAAAGCTCGTCAAGGAACTGCTGCCATGCTCCCTTTAAAACGCAAATAGCATTTGCAGTTCCCAAAAATCACCCACGTCAATCTGCCGAGCGGTGTGTAGCGGAACATTGCCACCACGAGCATAGGTAGCACCTTGCCAAACCCCACTGGCGTAGTGTACGTGCACGCTGTTGATTGTGGCAATTCTAAAAATATATATGCACTACTGTAATTATCGATTTTTTTGGATTAATTAACGAAAAAAACTTGAAGATTCTAATTTGATGTCGTAATTCTCACCGGAACGTCAGCTCAAATGGCCCGCCGGCAAATGGGATCTTGCTGAAGTGCTCCTCCCGGACCCAGGGCTGAAATTTGGAGTATGTAGTCGGTAAAGCCTAGCGTTATTCAACAACCTACCCCCATATTATTCCTGCAGTTCAAATGCGTCCCATATGTACCCTCGCCAGGACCCGGCTGGATGCGATGATCGGCGTGGATGATCATGTTGTTCATCTCAGACATTGCAATATTGCACGTCCATCTGAAGGTCTTCCTTTCTCTCTCTCTCTCTCTCTCTCTCTCTCTCGCCGCATCAGCAAATCGTAAATCCTACCTCGCCGCTCCCGGGATGATTCTGCCCCGTACCGTAATCGCATCACCGACGCGGAGTGGACGGTCGAAACATTGGACGAACCCTGGAAGCGAATACCGTCTACCCACCAAACTACGCGAGCGCACGCGTACTCTACTGTAGTTTCGTGTAGCCACGTACGCCTCGCAACTCACTTACAATGCGGATCCTTATATCCGGAAGCCCCGCAAAATAACCCGAAGCATAGCAAAAGCCACATCGGCTTAAATGGGTGGCAAAATGGCAATTCTGAAAATTTATATCGCGCCCCGATTTGCATCTGCAGTTCGAGAAGATTCACGATTTAACGAGCTGTCCGCTCCCACAGACGGTTAAGCGGTTTTGGGCTATAAAATCAGGGGGCTTTGCACCGGAAAAAGTCAAGTGCTCAGAAATCAAGACACACAGAGAGTGCCTTTGAATGTTCCTTGAAAGGAGGCGAAATGGGACCTAAGAGGAATGGTCATTACATCTTCATCTGATGGCCCTCATGCATCCGTTTTATTTGCTATGTGCTTTGTATTTCTGTGTGTTCGATTAAGGCGTTTATTCATGGTTTTTCAACAATAATATATCCCGAAGCAAATTCAAATAACTTTAGCTCGGCCAGTCACCCTCAGAACTCTGAACGACGAGATTGAAGCCTAAAATACGCTTTGATTTTTATTAAAAACAGTAAATTTTTTTTGCTTAATTTCTATAACTGTATTTTTAACCTACCATCAAAACCATCCTCATCACTTCCGCCATGTTGATGACTATCGCTACCACTCCCGCTGCTGCTGCTCCCGCCTTTTCCATTCTTGTTGTGATGGTGGTGGCGAGAGCCTTTGGCTTTTGAAGGATGAGGGTGATGGCGATGGTGACGACTCAAAAAAATAGAAAACCAAAAATTTGACTCACGGCTTTTCGGGTGGAGGCGGCGGAAGAGGCTGCGACGAATCCGGCAGGGTTAAGCAGTCCCGGGTCTTTTCCTCGGATACCTAAACAGTCACATTGTCTAAAGTACTTGTTGTAGCCCTACCGTATTCTTGTAGCCTCTAATACCTCCTTTAAATATAAATATACCTTATCGCGCATCACATCCGCATGAAAAGTGACGTCCTTCACATCGCCGTAACACTAAAATATTGCTAGCTATATTTGGAGTGACCTATGGAGAATTGTGCGACGGCGCCCTCAAGTTCAAGCAGTTCAGCTTCGATCTGAGCTCTTACCGTAATCTGCCGAGCCACGCTCAGAGGTACATTCGGCCGAGAAAACGTTGTCCTGCCCCACGCCCCATTAATGAAATTGATGTCGATGGACCGCTCGCCAGTAAAGCTAAATTAAAATTGATAAACACAAAGTTAAAATACTATCTTCAAAGCAATAAAACTTGATCGTAATTAAGTAGCTTACCGTAGTTGAATCTCAAACCTCTCCCCCTCCGAATATGGCATTTGGGCGTGGTAGAGCTCCTTGTTCCAGCCCTAAATTTGCGTTTTAGAGGAATCTAAAACGGGTTAGAGGGTTTCGGTTCGTGCTCGTGAGCACAAGATTCAAGTCAGACGTACCGAAGTTCCGGGCCTCGAGTTGATATGGGCCCCCCTGTTCCCTTCCCCTTTTTGAGGCCTGATACGGTGGTCAAGGTGTAGTTGTAGATTTTTACCGTCGCTCATCTGGACAGCGCAGGTCCATCTAAAAATGATACATGTAATTAGTGTAAAATTGTATTGTTTCGTACCGAATTGTATCGTAAAATCTTGGAAACTTTCCACCTCATGGCGCCCGGGATAATGTAACCCTTGGCCGTTATCTGGTCACCAACTCGAAGCTCACGTTTGAAACATTGGGTGTAATCTGTAAAGTATCGTACATAAACCTCGAATTCCAGCCAGAATGCCGACAGAAAAAATCCCGACAGCTAAAGTATCGATTCACAAAATCCCGACAGCCATAATCAGCAAACAGCAAAAATAGCGAGTCAGATTGTTCTAAAACCCGTCTAGTATTTGTCGGGATTTTGCCCTGCAAGGGTTGTGGCTTGTCGGGGGTACAGTGCCCCCTTACTTACATCGCAAATCCACATGAGCATCTATTGCACCGGACACATAGAACAGAGCCAAGACCGAGAACCACATTTCTGATCTTCGATTACGGTAGGGCGGTGTCAATTTATAGCGGCTTTGCAGTATGCATTTCTGGCCAAGCTTTACGAGTAGCGTGTTTACGACCGGCCGGCTCCCATCGGCGGCCCAGAAGCCGATTTCCGGCAACCGAAAAGATGTGCTTTTGATTCTATGGTCAACTTTTCAAACGGAAAAGGCTTCAGTGTAGGCTTTGTTTCTGCATAGTCAGATGTTGCGGAAATGATATTTTGAGTAGGAACGTCCAAAGCAATGTAAGGTAGGCTTTATAACAAAGCGATGACGCGGGACAATAGACAGAACTGGTCTTTAGGCAATCAGCTCCGTATTTGAGCCCATAAACTAATCGCAATATAAGGCAAATTATTTAATGCCAGCCGCTTACAACGACTTCGCCGCTGCCAGCGGCTGGACTTCGGGCTACCACCCTGCGCTCCCTCCACCTCGCGGAAACGCGCGCGACTATGTCCACAATCGTGCCAAAGTCCGTTCCCCCACCCCTTTTACTAAAAAAAAACTTTCAAAATTAAATTGAATTATTTAAACGAAAACTTTTTCATAATTTTTTATCAGTTTCGGGGTTTCTGACGGCGCTTTATCCGAATCTGAAGAGACCTAAGCTCTAGCTCCTTTCCCCTTCGAGTTGAATTCGAGACATGACGCACGTACTACACCGCAAGATTATTATAGCCGATACTGTATTTGAGGTATAGTAGTAACGTTTTTGCGTTTTTTTTACTAACGTTTTTGCAAAATGTATCTTTTTGACAGTCAAAAAACAAGGTGTGATGTTTGTTAGTCTCGTCCAAACCGCGGAAGTTCGATGTTGAAGTCTGAAAAGTAATTTTGTTTCTGTTTTTGCAAGCTATCCCCTTTCAATTTGTTGAATTATCATTCCGCCATCACGGCGTTTGGAAAATTTTGGCAGAATGCATTTTCGGAAAAAATGAAAAAAACGGCGAAATCAATTTTTGGAAAAACAAATCGTGGATTCTCAGCATTGCAAAACGAAGAACGCCCATCTCTCGCATTATATAAACGCTACCGCCACTTCCGGAGTATCCAAATTTTTCCTAACAAAGGGCGTTTTCCTAATAAATTCCGTAATTTTAGCGTACCATCGAAACCTCTGTCGTGACTCCCGCTGTCGCTGTGACTATGGCTGTGGCTCCAGTCATGGCTGTGGCTGTGATGGGGGTGTTCCCTCGAGCGGGAGCGGCTAGAAATTGTACAAATTCAATAGATGGTGGAGGATAGCCCACGGAGGAGGTGATGGTGGAAACATCATACAGTCACTGCGACTCTTCACCGGCAATACCTGGGTACGGTAGACCAAGTACTCTATAGCCAACAGATACCTTATCCCTCATCATATCCCCGTGGAAAGTGACATCCATGAGATCGCCGTTACACTAAAATCATTTTCAAGGGGCCGGGACTGCAATTTTTGTTAATTCTGTTTTGTATACCATTTAATGGACACTTTCTTACATCAATCTGCCGGACGACAGAGAGCGGAATGTGCTTTCCACGATTGTAAGTTGTCCCGGCAAACGTCGTGCTATTGTACACGACCTCTACCGTATTTTCAGCGATTATTCTAAACGTATGCAATTGCCATGTATAGCACAGTTTTAATAGAGCTTCAGGAAGTGTCCCACTCACCGAAAGCTCATCTCGAACGGTCCACCGGAAAACGGGATGGCTGCGTGATAATTCTTGTGTACCCAACCCTAAAAATTAAGCAGTTTTGTTCTGTGATTGAGTTTTATTGCCTAATTCTGTACGTTGAAAGTCATACATTCGATTCGGCACGGCTATAACGTAGTGTGGATAGTAGCGTAATGTACTCACACCCATCCCAGGTCGAATATTCACGTAGGTCCCGCGAGCCCCCTCGACGCGCGTTGGACGAATTCTGTGATCAGCATGAAGAATGATGTTGTTCATCTCACTCATCGCGATGTTGCACGTCCAACTGAAAAACAGTAAAAATTTAATTAGCATAGAAACTTTTTTAATATGAATTTTCGATCAATAAAAATTATACGGCCTTGCGACAGCAAATAGGTATCTAGAGGTATTTACCGGGTTGCTCCGGAAATGATCGACCCCTTGACCCTGATCAGGTCGCCGACACGGAGGTTCCTCCTGAAGCATTGCGTATACCCTAAACGAATTTAAAATTAACGCTATTATTTTCAATATTGTTTTGACACTTTTCACTTACAGTGCGGACTGACGTAGGCACTGCTCAATGAAATTATAGCCAGAAGTAGTAGCGTCCGCATGGCCACAAAACGGAACGAACTCGTTGGGCTTTCAAACTTTATATCCCACTTTTATTTGCATTTTACGAACTTTTTGCTCTCACGATTTACTGTATAACTGCAGCCCCATCATAAATGGTCGCCATTCGAATGTGATGTATGGGACCAAAAGATCGGAAGGTGTATTTTAGAGATGTTACGCATACGAATACGACATGGGAGTTACGCGTCGTATTCGAATAAGCCGTCGGAATCAAAAATTTCTGAATTCCAACCCGATCATCGTATTCGAATTAGGGGCAGAACCAAGCGAATGCGACGTTCGTATTCGTTTAAGCGGGTCACAATGGGATAATAAGCTAATTTGGATGCAAAGCGATATTACGAAGAAAACGATCGGTAAATGGAAACAAGTAGTCTGAATATGCATAATTTCAATAGATTTAGGAGCCGATTTCCCGGTCATTTCCGGTGGCTCTGTCAATATTTTGATATTTACATAGCAGTTCGTCTTGAATTTTAAATTAGCTTTTTATCCCGACGTGAAGCCGACTTGCCAGATCATCGCGTCGGAATTAGCCGATACTTATTCGAATACGATCGTCGTATTCGAATTATCGGCACTCTTTCTCAAATCAGATATACATATTTATATTTATTTATGCATATGGAAAATACTATTCACAGAATCGGTGGCTGCTGAACTTGTTGAAGTTGTGGTGGACTCTCCTAATAACCTTTGCCGTTTTTGGGCATTACTGAGAGGCTGTGGTTTTTGTAAGGCATACCTCCGTGTGCGAGGAGCCGCAAAAATAAGCATACAAAAATTTTCGAGTTCATTTCTATCCTAAAAAACTCTATATTACGAGAACCTTGTCTGTACTTTATATCGATAATTTCGGATGTCAATGAGCGGTAGGAATCTTCTGTGAAGTAGTAATTTAATGGATTTAACGAAAATGCCTCCTAAACTGGCAGTGACTCAAAAGCAAAGCAATACATGCTCGACCCAATTCCGGGAGATTTATCACCGAGACAGGCGGCATAACCCCGAAAAACCGGCGCCTTTGCAAAGTTGTTGATCAGGGCCAAGAGAACCAATTTTTAAAGCACTTGATTTCGAAAAAACACCGCTTACAACTCTCTTCCCTTCTCCTATCTCCTAAATTCTCCTAAAAGTTCAGGCTTGTTCAAATTTTTTTGGTGCGGGTCGAATCAAATGCTTTGGTCATTTTCAAACAACTTATTCATCGACTGACCCAACGTTCGAATAGTTTTAGTAATCCCAGCGTTCGTCAGACGTCTCGATGTTGAAGCCTGAAAGAGATGAGGAAAATATTTAACCAAAAAATTTCCTAAAACGATCAATTTAAAGACAAAAAATAATTAACGACAAAATCGACGAATCAAAGCTTCGCGGCACTATTATTCGCGATTTGTGTCTGAATCCTTGCCAAAATACCGACAGATAAAATTCCGACAGCCTTGATCCCGACAGCCAAAATCCAGATAACCCAAAATTTATATTGCGACATATTTTCAAACTTAATTAAATCCTCCTGCCTTTCAAACAGCTGTCGGGATTTTTGATGCCGGGATTCTTGCGCTCTGCGCCCTTAAAGTACCGTTGAATCCGCGTTCTTTGCTGTCGCTGTCACCCCATTTGTTGTCACGATCATGATCACGGCGGAGATGTCGATCAAAGATAGGCCTCTTGACCGGTGGACGACGTCTAAAGACCATAAAAATAACGCTAGATCTGGTTACTGTGGAGCTGGCTCCGGCGGGAACATCAGGCAATCGCGATTGGCTACGGGCAACACCTGGATACGGTAGGTATTAGTTACCGCATCTGGAGCACACCTTATCCCTCATCATGTCCCCATGGAAGGTGATGTCGATCAGGTCGCCGCTGCACTGGAATTTTAATTTTTTTTTTGGGTCTGCAGAGTTGGGCAACGCATGGCTGGGCATTCCGAAGGAGCAGCGCACGCGACACACAACGCAAACCTTTCACCATGACGGGACGATCGATTATTTCACGAAAACAACGTTTTAAAGGTTTTTGGAAAGTCAAGGTTTCGACGTCGAGAGACCTTTTCAGAATCGAGACGACTATATAGCTCACATCGATTTGTCGAACCACTGACAGCGGGATGTTGGTGCCACGGTCGAAGCTGGTCCCGTTGAAAACAGCATTTTTGTAGACGATTTCGACAATCCCCTCACTTACGATGCTAAATCGAGCAGTTTTAACGAGAATAATAAATAGTAACACTGTACTAGTGAAATTAGTAGTAGCAAGTAAACAGGTAGATTATAAATCAGGAGTGGAAGGCACCTGAAAACAAGTTCGAATGGCCCGCTGGTAAATGGGATGGCCGCTTTGAAGTTGTCGTTTAGCCATTTCTAAAGAAATCTCCCGGTGTCTCTCTCGCTGTCTCATCCTCCCTCTCTCCCTCTCTCTCCCTCTCTCGCTCGCTCTCTCTCTCTCTCTCCCACTTACCGTAGTTCCAATGCGAGCAGTTACATGAGTGCCATACGCTCCTTCGACGGATGTCGGACGGATTCGGTGGTCGGCGTGGATAATTAAGTTGTTCAGCTCGCTCATCGCGATGTTGCACGTCCATCTGGAGATGAACAACGGATGCAAAAAGTTTGGGCCAGGAAAATGGGCCTCTCCCCGATCCCTCTCTCTTCGCTCTCTCTCGCTCTCTCGCTCTCTCGCACTCTCTCTTTCTGGCCCGAAAACTTCAAGGAGGGCAATATGGCTATACCGTGTCGCGCCGTTCAGGATCTTTCCCCTGACGGTGATGACGTCGCCAACCCGCAGGTTTCTCTTGAAGCATTGCGTATAATCTAAAAGAGTTGAAGTACGTAATGATGCTCAACTTTTTTATATAAGGCGTATACAAATATTCATACCATGCCGATCAATATACGCATTCGCTACGCCGGCCACGACGACGAGGAGCAGTACAAGCCGCATTTGACGCCAAAAATAGAACACCTTCCGCGCATCCGTTCCGGAAGTTTATACCCCACCAATTTATTTGCATTTTATGAACTATGCTCTCACGGTTGACCGCAGTTCTGCAGGGGGGCCCCCGTAAAAGAATTATAAAATTCGGGGCCGATTCGCACGCCTGTCGGCCATTAAAAGGCATCTGTGCTCTTGGGAGTTGGTCTGTGCTTTTATCGCTTTAAAAGAGCTAGGAAATTCTATTTAATGTTTTGATGTGGATTTCAACGTCGTGGTCTGACGCTAAAGGGCATATTTTGAGTCATCAGTGCGTGCACAGTTAACAGGAATCCTTCTTTATATGCAACTCAGTTTTTCCAGCCATCCGGGACCTCGATGTTGTAGGCTGAAAAAATGTGAAGTTTTTCTTAAAATAATTTTTTTATTTTGGTACTTTTCAGTACTTGCTCCTACCGGATAATTTTATATAGAAATATACTAACTAAGGTTCAAATTTTTATATTTCATTAAGGATTATCAATCAATTTTTTGGGTGAAAAATAAAGGCGGGAGGGTGATTTTATTAGTTAGCTTTAGGGGTTTGTATTAATTTTCACGATTTTTTCCTTGGCCAAAAAAAAACACGGTACCAGTTGTGAAAAAACGCCGAAAATTCAAAAATTCGTCAATCCCCAAAAGGTTAATTCGTGTCTTAAACAATGTAAGCTGTTTAAATTTTTGGTTTTCAATAAACCGACGTGAAGAAGCTCTGTACCGAATCTGAAAATTGATTACCATCCCACGCATCCTTGCCCTGTTTCCCGTCCTGGTCCTTCTTCGGCCACTCCTCGCTGCTCTGGCTGTCGCTGCCGTGATGATGATGATGGTGATCATTATGGCTATCATGGCTATGGCGATGATCATCACGGCTGTCGTGGCGGCTACAAAATACGTATTATTGGACCCATTGAAACCAAGTTACTGCGGTGGTCGTTCTTTAGGTAGAACCAGACAATCACTGCGACTTTTCACTGGCAAGACCTGATGATTGTAATTCTGGGTTACGGTAGTTTACTCTCACCTTATCCCTCATCATATCACCATGGAAAGTGACGTCGAGGACGTCACCATTGCACTAAAAGTAATTTTTCTGTTAATTAGCCCCCCTAGATTTATTCGGACTTGAAGCTAGTTGTTTACTTGGAAAACCTCTGTTAATGCGGGCAAAGAAATGTGCTGCAATGGCTTCAAACCATTTTTTTGTGGCGTGGCTACCCAGGATCGGATACTGTTATGTCGAATGATGACTCCAGACTTACATCGATCTGACGGGACGATTCCAAGGCAATGCTGGGCCGTCTATAACTCGTCCCAGTCCAAGTAGCGTTTTTGTAGTAAATCTCCACCGTCATCGGGTCAAGGATTCTAAAAAGATGTACGGACCAAAAAGTGTCGTTGCGTGAGTACCTGAACGTGAATTCAAATGGCCCGCCGGCAAAGGGGATGGCTCCATGGCCGGCGTCGTAGTTCCACGCCTAAACATCATTTTGGATTTTTTTATAATATTAGATGTGAATTATTGTATTTGATGAAATAGATAGCTCAAAAACCGACCCCCATTCCGGGGCGAGCGTTGACATGGGTTCCCCACGCTCCTTCGGCCGGCGTGGGGTGGATACGGTGGTCGGCATGGATGATGATGTTGTTCATTTCACTCTCGGCGATATTGCATGTCCATCTGGAAAAGTTTGTCTCTCTCACCTTCTCTCTCTCTCGCTCTCTCTCTCTCTCTCTGTTTCTCGCTTTCTCTTTCTCTCTCTCGCTCGCTAACTCTTTATCTTACCGCGTAGCGCCAGTGATAACATGACCCTTGATCGTGATGATGTCACCAACTTTCAACACCCGTCGGAAGCACTGCGTATACCCTACAACCACTTTTACCGTATTTCCTCTAACATAACCCGCAAGAAAATTTTTTTCCGGGTTGCCTTTAATAAGTAAATGCAAAAACGCTTCCGATTAAGCTTCGTACTGTGTTCCTAAGTGGTGGTGAGCAGTTCGAACTGCTAGAAACCGTTGTAATTGCTCAGAACGAGAAAAACGATATCCTTCCCGCTAACACAACCCCTTCCCGGAGGTGATTGGATAGCACCTCCAGGGACATCTCAGAGAAAATATGGTAATTCCTTGCCAATACTAACAACGTACAATGCGGGCTGACGTAGCAATTCGCCGTTGCAGCAAAGATGAGAAACAGCGGTAGCCGCATCATCAACTCGTGTCGCCGGCTCATTTTCGGAAGTTTATATCCACCCCTTGGCTTCCCACATACCGTACAGCGGCCAGGACTTCAGAGGACGATAAAATCCCGCTCACACGACTTGGCACGCTCAAAAAGTGCGCATACGCGATTTATGGGTGATTTATGGTGCAAGGGACTAGAAAGCAATGGAAAATCGATTGATTCCTCTTTGGAAATTTGCCAAATTGTTCTCAGAAACTGCTGTTTGAAACCCTCTAGTATGGCTTTATTTTATGGTTGGTTAAGGTATTTTATCAATTTGTGATTTTGGTAGAAATTGAAAGCTTAGCTGCGTACGTAGCTCACGTAGCTCACCGCTTTCAGGAAGTTTAGCGTAAAATTCAAGTTGATAGTGATTTATTCAGGCATTAATGAGAAAATTATTTATCATAAAAACTACAAGCTTTGGTAGTTTTCTGCTCGGATCTCCGAAGGGTTCGTTTGATTTTTTAGCCCTCCGGCAAGTTCAAACAGTCGGCGCGGTTCTCTACGGGCAGCACCTTGGGACGGAGGATTTAGGATACGATAATTGCAACCACCTTTCCACGCAGCATGTCTCCATGGAAGGTGACGTCAAGCACATCGCCGTGGCACTAAAGCATCTCTTCTCTTCTCTATCTCCCTTTCTCTCGCTCTCTTTCGCTCTAACCTGAACTTGGCGCGCAAGCGTCAAAGAAATGGTCTCATTACGCGCATAGCTCGTCCCAGGCCAAGCCACATCCTTGTAATACACTTCCACCATCAGCTCTTCCAAGATTCTAGGGTCTTTCTTAGGTTGTTAGCGGAACGAAACGTACCTAAACGTCATCTGGAAGGGACCTCCAGAAAACGGAACAATGTCTTTCACATACTCCTCGCCCCATTCCTAAAAAAGTGACTCGGACTCCCATTCTTTAAAAACGCACAGTCCTAAAGCGTGAATTGAGGACGGTGCACGGATTCCCGCGTCCGGTGGTGATACGGTGGTCGGCGTGGATGATGACGTGATTCATGCCCTGCAGCGAGATGCTACACTTCCATCTATGACGCAAACTTATCAATTTAAGGCTATACTTGCGTTGGACAACTTATGTAACGCTGGAACTACCCACTGTTCCGCGCCGGCGATGACATGACCCTTAATAGTGATGACGTCACCAACACGCAGTGGGCGGACGAGGCATTGAGTGTAGTCTGGAAGGTTTCATTTTTCTGTACAACCCATGCCATTGTTAAAACCAATGTTGCTGTACTCAGTTGAGTTGCTGCCTAATAGACGTTTCGCGCCAATTCGGAGTATAAGGCCTGACTACGAGCATACATGCTTCTTTTGAAGCGTGAGCGCGATATCCCGAATGCACTAAATACCTACGATGTAGACTTAGAAAGGCATTAACATAGGAGGCAATCGTGAAGAGAAGTGGAACGAGCCACATCTGCAGCTTTGGGGGCTTGGGGACCTGAAAATTACGGAGAAGTAGCTCTTGGAATGGCCGCTCAAGTCGTCAAATGTTGCAAGCTATTGGACCGCCTAGCAGTCCCTCATAATTCATTAGGTTGTCGACAGCGGTTCTCACTCACTCTCTCCTTCTTTCTTTCTCTCTCTCTCTCTCTCTCTCTCTCTCTCCTCTCTGTCTTTCTACTTAAGTATGTAAAAACATCAAGGCAGTTGACATCGAATAACGTAAGCATGCTCCGGGGTGCTGCAAATTTGTGCAGAACGAACAATTGTCGCCTCACCGCAGCACGCGCTATTTCATATTTCATTTCTGAATGTTATTTTTCGTTTTCCGGATTCTAGTTGGCTGGTCTCTTGCAGATGGGCGCCGTGAAGCTCCGATCGCAAACATTGTCAATATCAACATTGTCAACCCCATCTCTTTGGCCACCCACCGCGAAAAGGTTCTTGTGAGGTAAAGCTGAAAATTAAAATGAAGATATGGTCTTTTAGTGATAGAGAGAATAAGAGAGAATGAGAGAGAAAGAGAGAGCGAGAGAGTGAGAAAGTGGGAGAGCGAGAGAGAGCGAGAAACCTACAACGGCACAATCCTCAGATCCGCCACCAACCGGCGAATTATTTGGCTCGCCGGGTGCCCAGAAAGTAAACTCGAATGGGGTTCCATCTTGCCATGTCCACCCCTCGTCAACCTATATTTTCATGCAAAAGGATTTACCGAGCCCAAAATTTGTTTTTCAAAAATTTATCAGATTAATTACGAATTAAAGGTATGAATCCAAAGGTGTCTCGGCCTGCTGAAAAGGTATGTCCTCCCCGATTTTCCATATTGCCGCATTTTGCTCGATTTCCGGCGTTATCCACAAAAAGTTTGCCGGAATTTATGCATCTTAAACATGTAGAAAATTGGGATTTGGGCGCATTGATAGACAGAATAAAGACATTACATCTAGTCATGCACAAAAAAATCCCTGCCAATGACTTTCGGAAAAATCATCTTTCTACAATTTTCCCGTCGTAGCGGGTTTCCAGCACATAAAGGCAGACAAAACTCCTTTTGAAAAAAGCGAGAAATGCGCCAAAAAAATGCACGCCTCCCATATATGTTTTTCATTCATTTTAAAGTTAACAAAATGATAAAAATTAAAGTCTTTATGCAGTTTGTTCGCGGTCCTTAGGATCAAAAGCGTTCCTCGAAGTGGCAGGTGTAAGGTTGAGCGGCCATCACTTGCCCGGCGCTCTTCTTCATCGACGGCTTCTGGTCGGAGGTTATCTAAAAAGAGAATTTATTTTTTAGGGTATGGGAGTTACCTTAAATCGCTGAAAAATGTTGGCAACGAAGAGGTAGAGCTCAAGTCGGGCCAGTCCTTCGCCGACACATTGCCGTTTTCCGAGGGAGAAAGGGATTAATTCTTCGAATTTCTTCAAGGAGCCATCGGTATTTATGAAGCGTTCGGGTTTGAATTTGTAGGGTTCTGGGAAGATCTGAAAAGACTGGAATAAAGAAGAAAGGAAGAAGAGTTCGAGAGAGAGAGAGAGAGAGAGAGAGAGAGAGAGAGAGAGAAAGCAAGAGAGAGTAGAGTAGCGAGAGACAGAGAGAAAGAACGAGCGAGAGAGTGTGAGAGAAAGAAAGATGGGAGAAGCCCCATTTTACTTACCTCTTCATCATAAAGCACCGTGCTAAGCTGCGGGCACACTACCGTACCCGCCGGCAACTTATAGCCTCCAATATTTACTTCAGCATTGGTAGACCGGAAGATATTTTGAGGCAATAGGTTAGCCAGTCTTTGAACTTCCTGTAAATTATTTTCCGTAATCTTCCGATTCCTCAAAAACCGACATTAACCACAGCATTCACATACGGTAGATTGTTCTTGTCGGACACCGTAATCTTGCGATCTGCCTGGATTACGCGATCTAATTCCTCATGCAGTTTTTCTTGCACTTCTGGATGGTTCAACACGTAGCAGACGGCCCAGTTGAGGGTGTTGGTGGTTGTGTCGAGGCCTAAAAACGGCTTCATGGCTGGGTAATGTTCATCTACCTGCCGCCCATAAGTCAAAAACGACCGATCCGAATTGCAGGTCGCTAAAGAATTTTCAAACGTTAAAAAATGGAAAATTCAGAGTTTTAAAAACCATTTAAAAAATTACAAGTAAACTTACAAAAAGTAGGCTTCCTGGTCCGTTCCCTTTTTCCGTTCCCATTCCTTCAAATAGGCTTCAACAAAGTCACTAGAACTCTGAAAATCAGGCAATGTTTATTTTTCTTTTATCATAAAAAATATAAGATATCATAAAATATAATAAAAATATCAAAATCCAAAAATTGGCTCCTATCTGCATACCGGACTATCATAATCCACTTTCTCTCGCTTGGCAGCTATTTGGTTCAAAATAAAATCAAATAAAGTTTGGCGGGAGGCTAGGACGCCATCAAAAGCCCCTAAATTCGGCTTGGAACTAAAAATTAGTCGGATATACCTTTAAATGGCTGAATATTTTGAAGCGGAGCGACCAAAGCTGCTAAAATAAACATTGGGTTGGTAGAAGCTAGGCTCAATTCGCGGAGGCAGCCTTTCACAAGTCGAAATTCGTCTTGGCGGTCCTGAAAAATCAAGATTTCTTTCTCTCTCTCTCTCTCTCTCTCTCTCTCTCTCTCTCTCTCTCTCTCTCTCTTTCTCACCTCATCAAAGCGATACCCCAACAACAAATTGTTAGTGATTGACCCAACTGCCGTGTCGAATTCGCTCTAAAACATTTTTAAAAGGTTTTTGTGTCGTCTGACCTGAATATCCACATCTCGCTTCAGTTTCGCCAGTCTGTCAAGAAAATAATCCACTTCCACCAGCACCCGCTCTTCCATAATATTACGACCAAGCCCGAAATCTCGCAAAATATGAAGGGCTAGTCTAAAACAACAGTTTTCGGTAACTTACGCCTCAGATACCTTCTCTGCTCCCTCCATAAATCTCCGTTCGCGGGGATGATGCCGTAGTTACCACCTTAACAAAAAATATACACTTTTTACCGGTCTCTCTAATTTGGTTTTTAAAGTATGAATCAGCATACCCATGATCTTCTCGGCAATCCCATTGAAAAACCAGCGATCTACATATTTTTCACCATCGAGAACGATCGTTTCTTTTAGGGTCTTGTAGTCCGTGATGGCAATGACAGGTAGGGGACCTGAAAATGTTGCTGTCTCTCGCACTGTTTCTCTCTTTCTCTATCTATCTCTTACTCGCCCTGTGGCTCTCTCTCTCTCTGTCTCTCCACCTACCTAACCAGAAGGTATGCACCGGTCCATATTTCCTCCCCCACCGCCGAAACGCTTCATACCCAGGGAGTTTCCAGATGACTTCCGGCATATTTCCCAGTGGCCCGAACGGGGTCGGGCCTTTAAAATTAAAAGTAAAATAAAAGCTTGGATATAGCCATAAACTAAGACAAATCCACCTGGAGGTAGGCCACGTCGTTTCCAATACAGCTGATTCCATAAATACCATATCGCTAAAATGCCGAGCAATAATAGTATCATCTCGAAATCTGGAGACAAAAAAAATATAAAATACCGCTATATTTAAGGCGATTGTAACACCAAAAATCATAAAAAATACGAGAAAATTCAGGGAGGGAACCATTTGAATCCGCGCCCTGGATGTGCGCCTGGATGTTTCCAAGGCCACGAAAAAATCTTTTTGCTAGATGCGCCTCAGCAAGAACGAGAGAGAAAGACAAAATTTGAGAAACTTCAGCGTGTATTTTTCTCCGGGAACACGAAGATAAATCACGGGGGTAATCAGCTTGTCTCGGGAAATGAGAAAAATCGGGAGTCCAGGGTTAATGATAGGTCATAAAGCTGCAGAGATCAGAAAGGGGAACAATACTTTCTTTTCAATCCATAAAAGATGGAAACGAAGCGCTGATTGGCATAAAGATTTGAGTATGCCAGTTTTCAATTTTAACCTTGACCTACAATCAAGCAAAATCAATCATCATGTCCCGGATTCAATTCAAAGGGCAAGGAGCTAGAGCTTAGGTCTCTTCGGATTCAGAGAGAGCTCGGTCAGAAAACCCCAAATTGATAAAAAAAATTATGAAAAAGGTTTTGTTTAAATTATCAAATTTAACTCTGAAAGTCGCGCCTTAGTAAAACGAGTGAGGAACGGACCTTGGCACGATTTCGGATATAGTGAGCCAGATCACGCGCGTTTCGGCGGGGGAAGGGAGCCCAGAGGCTAGCCCGAAGTCTAATCCAGGCGAAGCCGCTGGAAGCGGCTGGTATCTAATATTTCCCAGTTATTATGCTCGACGGCTTTTTACAACAATAGATAATTTATAATATGCTATTTTTTCGCTTTTTCTCTTGGCATCTCACCCAAAAAAAAACTATTAAGACATGCCGCTGACTGGTGCCAGATGTGGGTCAAGCAAGTTGCCGCCCGGGATCGGCTGCCCCTTTTCTGGCGTGTCCCATATGCTAATAGACAGTCGGTATGTTTATGCAATTTGGATCAGGGCCTTTAGGGCGGGCATCCGGCCACCAATTGGGTCCAAGTTGGTACCAGATGAGGATGCTATATCATTCTTGGGCAGCCTTTCCTCAAAGATCTTTGCTAGCTTGCCAGCTCCTCCCAATCCATTTTTCCAGAACTAATGCCTGAATTTAAGACAAAATCCATCAAGCCGCTTTCAAAAATTGAAAATGACTACGGTATCGAATCTGGTAAACGTTAATACGTCCACATTTTAGGACGGCGTCGCTATAAGAAATTCACGAAGGAGCAACACGCGTTGCTGAAACAGTTCTTTGAAGTAAGGACATTTTGAGTTTTGAAGTTATCGAAGAGCAGGAGAATTAGTATGGACTAATTCTCGTGCTCATTCACCCAAATGGGACAGAAAGCGCTTTTTCCAGATCAACCCCTTCCCAGCTCGTGTGTTATACTCCCGTCTGGCCGAGTGGTTGGACGTACCGAGACAAACAGTCCTGGTGAGTTTTGCACGTTTTCTCGTCTGCTTAAATGGAATCGTCGTCCTCCACCTCATGCTCAATTTCAGAACTGGTTCTCCTACCAGCGATACAAGGAAAGAGGGAACGATAATGTTATTGGGTCAGTGCATTGTTTGACTCAAAATTTTCTACAGCCGGAAAACCGCCCTCGAATTTCTACAAAAGCCCACCAAATATCGTAATCAACAAGCTGAGGCTAACTTGCAGCGATACGTCGAGGTAGATATTCTTAAAAGAAGGATACACGTTAGTGAATAGGATCCACAAGTACATGATCCACCGGAACTGAAGCCAACGATTGACGTCGAAAGTACTGATTTGGTCGACGTTGAGCCAGGATTTTTTAACATTACCGATTATGGTAGGTATTTGAAGTCATGGAAAAGCAAGAATCGATATTGCAATGTAAGTAAGCATGGGCTAAGCCTGATGCAAGCCTCAATTAGGCCTTAGCTAAGCCGAATCCAAGCCTAAGCTAAGCCTACGCTAAGACTAAGCTAAGCCCAAACTAAGCCTAAACTAAGCCTAAGCCAAGACCAAGCTAAACCTACGCTAAGCCTAAACCAAGCCCAAACTAAGCATAAGTCTGATTCCGAGACTTCTCAAAATCACATCCATTGATAGCGACGCAAATCATAACGCCTTTTTAGAACCCTATCTCGAACCCTCGCTTCCGGTTGAAGAACTCGAAATCTACCTCCCAAGATGTACTGTAATCATGAATTTAAAATGCGAAGAAGATTTCCCGTATTCTCCTCAGTCTCCACAACTCCAGGCGCCCATTTTTGATTCTCCACCGGAGCCTCTAGAGTTAGTTTCCGATGAGAAAGACGAGTTTTTCAAAGATATCATGTATGCTTATTCGATATAACGTATTTATTTGTTTGTTTATTTACACAGAATGTATGAAAATTCTATCTTATCCTTATCGTTGTCTCGGCTCAAAATCGCAGGTATACGGTAGCGCGGTCACGACTTGGCCGATGGTTTTCGCTGTCGAGGGCTTGTTTTTGGAGGAGATCTAAAAAAATTGTTTTTTTTGTGTTGTTTAAAGCCGCTTCAACTTTGTGTTGTTTAAGCAAAAAAAATATTGACAATTTCGTGGTGAGCCTTGCTCTAATTCTTGACGAGTGTGACAAAATTTTCGTTTTCAAAGTTTGCATATTTGTACATATTGCACTTTCTTGAGCATATCTTAATTTTCTTGTTTGTAATTTTCTATGTTTGATCAGGATTTGTTTAATACTATCTAATTTTCTTACTTACCTTAAACGTCTGGAAGATATTTGCAATAAAGATGTACAGCTCGAGCCTTGCAAGTCCTTCACCCGCACATTGTCGCTTTCCAACAGAAAATGGCACCAATTCTTCATATTTTCTGTACGAGCCATCGGCATTCAAAAAGCGCTCCGGTTTGAATTTATACGGTTCCGGGAATACCTAAAAAATTGGTAATAATGCCTTACCTTAAATTTTAAAATTCTAGCGTATCAATTTTTTGGTCTCGATTTATGAATAATTTTGTATAATGATAATAATGCTAATTTTTGAAGGTACCTTATCATCGTAGAGTACACAGCTGATTTGTGGACAAACGACGGAGCCCTTCGGAATATGGTAGCCCTGGATTTTGACGTCTTCATTGGTGACGCGGAATAGGTTTTGGGGAAGCAGATTTGCCATCCGTTGGGCTTCCTATAAAACTTATAGCATTAATTTTATTGTAACAGCATCATTGAAAAATTGTACTTTACAAGGCTTAAAAATGTAAATCCCAGTTTTTTAGGTACAGTAGCGGACAAAAGTTTTGGGATTTCTTATTTTTGACAAAATCTCGGGAGATTTAACACGAGGTGAGCTCAAAAGTTGGTCCCTAGTAGAATTCAAGATGCTTTTTCATATGCAATGCGTTAAAACCGGCCACTCCATAGTACAAGAAAATTAGGAGAAAATTTCAAAAAGCTCGACGACAAAAGTATTGGGATTTTTCTTTCTGAAGCCTAGAAAACGAGCAGGTAACTTTGTAGAGCTCTTTTATTGATGCAAAAGCGCCAACTACAGTTGAAATTTGCTTTTCTCATAGGCGATTCCATCCCGGAAACGCTGAGGAATTTTTTGAAAATCTCGATTTTACTATGAAGATTTGCTTTTTTGCCTCTAACTCTTTGAATATAGTTTTAATGCCGGTTTGCTCTATATATTCGGATAGAGCACTTCAGGGCGATCATTTTCGTATATGCATGTCCATAGTTTTTCACCATGCCCCGGCAGATAAAGACGGCCCAGTTCTCTGCACGGGGGTTGGGTGTCCTTTCCATAGATAGGGCCCCCATTTTACTACGGACGCCGCCGACTGAAAGATTAGGCCCTACGTAACTCTGCGAGGAGCGTGTTTCCTAGTGACTATAGCATATCGAAATGCTCCTATTAAGCTGCTCTATCTGAATATATAGGGCAAACCGGCATTAAAACTATATTCAAAGAGTTCGAGGCAAAAAAGCAAATTTTCATAGTAAAATCGAGATTTTCAAAAAATTCTTCAACGTTTCCGGGATGGAATCGCATATGAGAAAAGCAAATTTCAACTGTAGTTGGAGCTTTTGCATCAATAAAAGAGCTCTACAAGGTTACCTGCTCGTTTTCTAGGCTTCAGAAAAAAAAATCCCAATACTTTTGTCGTCGAGCTTTTTGAAATTTTCTCCTAATTTTCCTGTACTATGGAGTGGCCGGTTTTAACGCATTGCATATGAAAAAGCATCTTGAATTCTACTAGGGACCAACTTTTGAGCTCACCTCGTGTTAAATCTCCCGGGATTTTGTCAAAAATAAAAAATCCCAATACTTTTGTCCGCTACTGTATGTGAAAACCCACACTAACAACAGCATTGACATACGGCAAATCATTCTTATCCGCCATCGTCACCTTTCGGTCCGAACCGATTACGCGATCCAATTCCGCGTGTATACGGTCTTGCACGTTTTCATCGTTCAGTACATAGCAAATTGCCCAGGTTAGGGTATTCGAGGTAGTCTCCATCCCAGCCGTCCAGACGTCGAAAACCACGGAGACTAGCTGCTCTTCACTAAAAAATAATCAATGTTTTTAAACATTTTAGAGCTATTAAAATCTGTTTTCAAATAGTTTTTGCTAGCCTACCATTTTTGGCACTATCATTGCCATTTTCAGCCTTCAAAACTTACAAAAAGTATTCTTCCTGCTGGGTCCCCTTTTTCTTCTCCCATTCTTTGAGATAGCTCTCGACGAAGTCGTCGGATTCCTGAAAGGTCTCGTAGCGAATTGTATACTTTTATTTCCTCAGCTTCCGCTTTGTAAAACTCACATTGTTACCGTAGTCGATAGTTCGCCGTTTTTCCGCAATTTGCCGCTTGATGAACTCTTTGATGCAAACGCCCTCGTTGACCAGATCTTTGTAGATTCCTAAAAATAGAGCATTTTTGCCCGTCATCTATGATAATCTAGATATTATTTTATTGTTTCGATCGGAAAATAATGAGAAATTTGG